TCCCGCACACAACACTACTATAATTGAAATGAGGTTGGACTAAAACGTTTCAAATGTCACTATGACCCATGACACCATGTTTTATGGTTATTTACTGGCAAGGACCATTCTTATGATTCCATTTGAATGCTACCATACAATTTCCATTCTTTACACAAGACTAATGTTCAAAATCCAAATCAATGTCTCTTGCATTTGGGAATCCAGATGTCTATCTGTCGATAATAATTGTATCTGCAAAATATACTTAAAATGGAAAGTGGACTCACTGTACTCCGGGACATTTGCAGTTAAAGTAGCATTTGGTCCAGGTTTTATAGTCACAGCTCTGACATGGAACTGATAAGTCAATCCACCCAACACATCAACTGTGTAACTTAACGCATCTTTTCCAGAGATCTCTTTTTCTGTATTTCCATCGTGACTATAAAACACAGTGTAACCCCTGATAAGTCCATTTGGTGCTGCAGGTATTTGCCAGGTCAACTTTATTCTTGGACCATTAGACATGTCTGGGGCTAGCACAATGTGAGTGAGGGACGCAGGAATACTAGGTGCTGGAACAAAAAATGAGAGTTAAGAATTTACAAAAAATTGATTGCAACAAAATTCTTACCAGATCAGTTACTGTGTACAAGTGCATTGTTGAGATGTACAAGTTAAACAAGCAGGAATTTTTGAGAGCACGAGAGAAGTAGATAGTGTCATAGTAATGGTCCGGCCTGAGTTTTGCCCCTGCTTCCTTGTTAGTTTTTAAACACCCCTGCTTTTGAGACATTTTCTATTAACAATTAATAGCTATAATTTCAGTAGAACGTACTTAAAACTGTATTACGCGTAAGTGTAGCCTGCGAATGCAGACGTTTTCAAGCAAAACCCTGATATACGTCTGCGTTCGTAGGCTAGCATTAGTGAGGAGTTTACTGTTTCGTGCTTACTCAAGGATAAATTCGTGTTTCATGCAAGGGAATGAAATAACCCTCTCTAATGTTCATATGGGTCACACACTAGGCATAATCACGCATGTGTGTGTTTTTAAGGGCAACTCCTTTCAACGGTAGTTATTAGTAATCCCGCAACTCCTACGATCATAGGACCAGCTACAGGTTACCATTTGACTGCCTTTGGGGCAACTTTCTGCAATCTTCTGTGCAAGTCATTACCAAAAGAAGTGTTTTACCTTTTACCTTCATTGTTAGCTATGATTTCCAAGAAGCAAGTTTTCAATGTTATAATGTTGCTATAATTGTCACAAGACCAAATGAGTGATTTTTTTTTTATCACATTGTTGTCGTCATGATCTACTTGTCTTTTCAGTGTTATTAGATTCAGCTCAGTTTTTCAACAATATTAACCCTTCTCAGTTGTTTTAGGTACTGATTATTGTGTCTGTAACGCCTATGTAGCTAAATGCTGTATCTAAGCTACATTGTACACTGTATTTTTAATTATATTTCGTATCGAACCTGCACTACCTTCTACCTTATTGTGCTCAACTCTCACTCTGCATTTTGTACTGAAACTACAAACTTTTGTTTCGCAGCTACAACTAGCTTCAAGTCTACTACAGTTATTTTTGGAACTTTTTTCTACCGTAATCTACTTTCTGTCATTCACCGTCCCAACTAGTGTATCTCGCGAACTTTGAGCTTTGATTTAGTATGCCCTTAATCAACCTATCAAGTGGAGTTCGAATTATCTATCACCTCGAACAGCACAATACCTCTGATTGCTGAGTTTCTGAGTAAGAAACAACCTAATCTTTACACAGTTACACTCCTCAAATATGTTTTTTTTAAAGACAGAAACAATTATATCAAAAGAAGAT